ACAAAGTAACAACCCCCCTCCCCCCATCCACTGCTCAGCTCGGGCTGGCCTCGAACTGCTGTTGCTCAGAGCTCAAACTCTTGAGCGAGCTCTTAACCAACTGAGCCACTCGGCCGGCCCTGTGTTTTTTTTCTAATTGCTACATGTGTATAAGTCCATTACCCATACACCTTTACCTTAAAACCTTGAACGGAGGCAGGATCTAAGGTACATTTTTTTTTTAATTCCCACTGGCACCTCAAGTAGAATTAGATTTCAAATAGATAAATTGAATGATCTGAAGACATATGTATATATAAAACATATTACATATGATCTGCATATATAATATATAATTGCATCATGCATTTTATATATTATGTTTTGATGCTTCTCTGTTATGTTTATTTTTTTAATAAAAAAATGTTTAATTAATTAAAAAATTTTTTCAATTACCATTGACATATTATATTAGTTTCAGGTATATAGCATAGTGATTAGACATTTATATAACTTACAAGGTAATCCCCCTGATAAGTCTAGTGCCCATCTGATACCACACAGTTATCACAATATTATTGACTATATTACCTGTGCTGTACTTTACATCCCTGTGACTGTTTTTATAATTGGCAATTTGCACTTCTTAATCCCTTCACCTTCTTTACCCTATTACATATGTTTTATATAAGTGTGTGTGTACATATGCATACACACATATACACATATATACATAAGATAGCAACCATGGTTTCAGGCAACGTTTCTCAGAATGTGATCATCAAAAAATGTATATCAGCATGCCAGATATTCTATAAACAGGGACATCTGTTTCCATCCTGATGGAGGGAGGACGTCAACACATCCTTTCCACAAACAGCAACTATAAAGCTGGACAAAACTGTCAAAAACAACCATTTCAGCACTCTGGAAATCAACCAAAGGCATACACCAAACTGAGAATGATTTATTCATGAAAACACATAACACTGGGTAGAAACAGGACAAGTCTGTGGCATTCTTGCCCAAGAATGCCCCATTGTGGTTCGTCCACCCCTCTCCCCGCCCCCAATCAGCTCTGTTGCTCAACCAGGTAGTTCGACCAGAGTGGGCCACTGCCAGAGGGAGCTAACCTGGCAGGGAGCATTGTCAGCTAAAACAGCCATGTTGGGAGCATGGGAACAGGAAAGGCCAGTGGCTCCACTTTCCTGTATTTGCAGTCCTGTTTGAGCAACTAACTGGTTAGACCAGTCCGGGATTTGATAGGGGCCTCTGGGAGGTTAAAGTGATAGGAGAGGGGTAAACAATAAACTCATCACAGATCCCAAATTGACCAGAAGCTATGTGTATGCCCAGCAGAGACCAGAATGGGCCCAAGCCACCCACACATCCCTGGATGATGGAGTCTGTAAGCACATGCAGAAGAGACACGTGAAAGCCCAGTGGAATGTAAAAGCCAAAGAAGGCTTGAAAAAGGCCGGAAATTTAAACGTGCCTGCCAACCCCACACACATTTATCAGCAGAGAGGGGAAGCCTCACTGGCTCAAGGTGTCTGAGTACAATCTCTAACCAATCTTAGGCTGAAGACTAAGCTACTCAGACACAGGGGTGAACCCTAGTAAGGAGGCTTAAAAATAAAAATGAGAAAAATAAACTGCACATCAGTAGAGGCCACAGGTTGTGGGGGAGACATATTTTACAGAAAGCAAGACAACAACAACAACAACAAAGGAAACAGAACAAGAGCAATGCATAGGAAATAGTTACAAACATGGTCAATATTAAGCCAACTATATCAATAATCACTTTAAATGTGAATGGTCTAAATACACCAATGAAAAGGCAGAGACTGACAGAGCAGATAAAAAAATATACTAATACATGTTGTCCACAAGAAACCCACTTTAAATATAAAGACATAGATAGACTAAAAGGATGGAGAAGATATACCATGTTAACATCAATCAAAAGAAAGCTGGAGTTGCTATATTAGTTTTAGACAAGCGGACTTCAGAGTAAGAAAATTACCAGGAATAAAGAGGGGCATTACATAATAGTAAAGAGATCAATTCTCCAAGATGACATAACAATCTTTAATGTGTAAGCACCTAACAAAAGAGTGTCAAAACACTGACAGAACTGCACGCAGAAATACATGAATCCATGATTGCAGTTGGAGACTTCAACACCCTTCTCTCAGTAACTGACAGATCCAACCAGCAGAAAACCAGTAAGGATACAGTTGAATTGAACAGTACCATACATCAACTGGACCTAATTGATGTTTATAGAATTCTCCAGCCAGCATTATTTCTCAATAAGAAAATGAAAAGACAGGCACAGACTAGGAGAAAATATTTGCAAATCATATATCTGATAAAGGATTTGCATCCAGAATATGTATATAAAGAACTCTTACAACTCAATAAGATGACAACTCAGTTTTAAAAACTGGCAAAAGACTTAAAAAGACATCTCTCCAAAGAAGACATATAATAGCTAACAAGCACACTAATCATTCGGGAAATGCAAATTACAACCACAATGAGATAGAATTATACATCCACTAGAATGGCTATAATCAGGAAGGAGGACAGACAATACTAAATGTTGGCAAGGATGTGGAGAAATTGGAAACCTCATACATTGCTGGCGGAAATGTAAAATATACAGCCACGTTGGAAAATAATTCACAGTTTCTTTAACTTAATATAAAACCCAGAATTCCTCTCGAAGTAATCCACCCAAGAGACATGAAAAGATATGTCCACACAAAGACTTATATATGAATGTTCATTAAAGCATTATTAAAAATAGCCCAAAACTAGAAATCCAAATGGCCATCAACTGGTGAATCAACAATTAAATAGTGTATGATTTAAGTTGGTTTAATTGCTAAAGTCAACCAGGTTTCTTTCTTTTTTCAGGAATTTCCTTATATGGAATATGAATTGTCAACAGGGAGATTTAGCAAATTTGGGAGATGCAAAATTTCCCTAGTTTATTTGATCACAAAATTGTTTTATCCCTCTGAGGATCAGAACTTTTTTCCATGGAAAGCCATCTTAGGCCGTGAGAAAACCCAAGCCAGACATTTTAATAACATATTATAATTTGAGAAAATGCCCAATATGCACATCTTATCCAATGGGAAATTTCAGAATTTGAGTGAAAGAATGACATTTCCTTTTGCTTGCACACAGAAATTGATGGAAAGATAATCTCTTGGGAATAGTGACCACCTAGTGTTTTTCAAACTTTCTTTTGGATGAGGACCTATTTCATAAAGTTAAATCTTAACTCAAAGACATAATACACACACACACACACACACACACACACACACATAAAGTAGAGGCAGAAGCACTATGGCTTAAGAGTAGGAAACCAAAGTCTCAATTTGCCTCCCCTGACCCTAATCCCAATTTCTGGGTCTCTGAAGAATCTCTAAGATTCCTGGGAATGCACTGTGAAATATACAAAGCTTGCTTTCCATATCAATGTAAAGGCTTAAGTATTTGACCTTTGTCAAAGGTCATGGAAAGGTAATAGTCTGGGCATGAGGGTTGTTTCATGCAAGGGGCATGACCTATAAATCCTGATGCTTGTAGTAGTCTGAACTGGGGGGGGGGAGCTCTCTGAAAACCAAGGGACAAATGGGGGTGACTTAGGGGCTTAGAACAGGTGAGAAAATGTTGGCTTTTGGAAAGCCCATCAGCTAGGAAGCAGCCAGAGGATATCTACAATACGTAGATGGGTCAGAAATAAATAGAAATCATATTCTATTACAGAAATAGTTCTGTACAGATGTTTTTAAGCTGCAAATATGCCTATTCTCAAAACTTTACCACTGGCTGGTAAATATAATTGTGCAGACTGGGTGACCTCTGACACATTACTTGCTGTGAAATAAATGCAAGTTGCAGGAAAACCCTGGGCTTTAAGGGTGCGTCCTATGAAACAAAGGTCACCTCTTAACTGGTTAACTCAAGTCTGTGGAAAATGTGAGACAAAGGTCCTCAGGTGAAAAGCAGTGCTTTGCCATCTCCCATTCTCATCAGTTTGTACAGGACATTGTTATCTTGAGGCTGTTATAATGTCATACTTTATATATGTACATCCTTCTTACCATTTCTCCTGGACAAATGTAAACAGTTCAGTTAAAGCACAGATTCTTTTTATTCCAAATTCTCTCTCCTAGAAAAGCTCTGTCCACTGCTATATAAAAGTGACTCAGAAATAGGGTCCTAAAGTTGATTGCACGATTCACCCAAGAGCCGGCCCAGCACAGGATTAAGACTGACACAGGAAGTAACACTCACCTGTCCACAATGATGCCATGAGGTATGAGGACATATTCCAAATCTCCATAGTAGTGCTGTGGGTACGTGAATAAATTCAAGTCATACCCTGGCCAATTGTCCATAATCTGTAAATCAAATTCATTTGGTCATGGGATTTTTCATTGGAAATTGTAAAAACAAATACACACAAAAGAGTATCATTTGAAAAACAGAATATTGAAAACAGAATAGGTCTGACAATCAATATGGCATTAAATTATATTCTCTCACCTTATGAAAAGCTCAGTGGGACAAGGTAATTTGTGTCACATAACCTGATAAGGGACCTAGGGCTGAAGTGAGAGCGTATGTACTCCCTAAAACTTGACATCATACAATAAAAATATAAACTCAGTGTCTTATAGCTAACTTGACAGTATTGGTTCTAAGAGTATATATGTACAACTATATAATTTATATCTAAATTATAAAAATTATGAATATAACATGAATATATATATATATAACATGTTTGTAATTATATTAATATAGACAGTATCATACATTACTATATTATATATACCATTACACATCTACACATCATCAGCCTGGGAAAGATCATCTATGAAAAGTACATGTCTCTGGGAATTAGTGTAAACTCAAACTTCTGAGTCACCTAGTCCTTCTAGTAAAAACTGCTACAGGATATACTGTAGTCAGAGCTGAAGTCAGTCTTATTGGGAAACTGTTCCTCCCGAAAACTGGCCTATTCATGTAATAGGAAGACTGTTAGCAAGTCTTCCCCTTGCTTAGGACGGGATGTGCAAGTTTTGTGGTTAAAGTAGTGAAGAGGTCGGACAGAAAACGAAGGTGAAGGTGTTGCTATTAGTTTCAGATCATCAAGGAAGGATGCAACACAAAGGTATTACACTCTCAAAGCATACCATGGCTGCATTGCAGGCTCCGGCTCTCTAATTACTCCTGCACACTTCCATCAGGCTCCTGTGCTGAGCTTTAAGCTTCCGAGGCCCCTCATCATGCAGACTTACCCGAATTTTCCAGCCCAGTTTCTACACCATCCCCTTTCCACCCTTAGATTGGTCTTCAGTCAAGTCACGATCCTTCCCAGCTGTGTTCTGCTCATGTCTGTCTTGCACCTACCACCTCCCTCCCTTCCCCTTCTACCTCTGTATTCCAGGCTCAGCTCCCTTTGTGGTCAGACCCCACTTCTTTCTGGAGGCCTGCTCCCACCCTCTGATCTTCTCTCCCAAACCCCTGGTGCCCCTCACTGCTATCTGTTCTCCCAAAGGCTCCCATTCAGACTCCTTGAGAAGATCCCTGTCCCTCCCAGCCGCTGGCTGCCTCGGTCTGGTTTTGTGTCTGTGGTTCTAGAACCCATCTGAACTTCATTTAAGGCTGGGACACTCTCTTGCTTTCCATTCTTCTCCTCACCCGGGACTTAAAACCAGTTCTCTTTTTGCTCAGGTTTTGGAAGGTCATTCTACCCCGCCACCTGCTCCCACCCAAGTTCTGGGTTCGGGAATGCCAGCCAAGTGAAACCTGTGATAGTTCCCCCCAAAATGTATCCTTTCCTCTCAGTAAAGGACAACAACTCGTTTTCCCAGTTCTCAGGTCAAAACCTTGGAGTTGTTGTCAACTCCATTCTTTCATCCCATTAGCAAATCTTATCATCAGTTCCTTGAAAATGTAACCAGGGCCTCCTCTAAGCATCTCCACTGCCGCCCCGCCGTCCGTGCCATCATTATTTCTCCTGAGACTACTGCCATCACTGCCAAACTCATCTCCTGGCTCCCACCTTGGCACACACACCCCCGCCACACATGGCAGCTGGTAATGCTCCTTTAAAAATGTGCATCATATCATAGCAGTCTTCTGCGGAAATTTTGTCAAGGGCTTCCCATTTCACTGGGTACAATCCAGAGTCCTCACATGGCTTCCCTCTCTGACTTGTGCCCAGGTCCTCTCTTCCTCCCTCACTCTGCCTCGGCGACTGTCCTCCTTGCTGATCCTTGAATGTGCCAAGCGTGCTTCTGCCTCAAGAGCTTTGCACCTGCTATTTCTTTTGCCTACAGTACTCTTCCCCAGATAGCCACATGGCTTACCCTTCACTTCTTTCGAGTTCTCTGACCACCTATATAAAATAGCACTCATCTCCTTCCCACTCATCTTTGTAGCCCCTCACCCAGCTTTCCTTTCCTTCATAGCACGCATTCCTACTGCATGTGGCACAAGGTGTGTGTGTTTATTTTGTCTTGTCTCTTCCCACCGAAATGTCAGCTCCTTTTGGCAGAGACCCTTGCCTGTCTTATTCGTGATTGAATCCCCAGTACCCAGGACACCGACCTGGAATATAGTTAAGTGCTCAAAAATGTTAAATGAGGGAAGGAATGAGTCTCCGTCCACCGATTACCCAATACTACCTGAACTCCAGCCTCCACCCTCGGTTTGTCTCCTTTTGATAAAGAGCACCACTGTTCAAGGTTCTGGAAATTCATGGGCAGACTGATAGCCAAGGGTGTCTGTCATCAGCATATTTGGAGAGTTTCACATTTGCCATGCCTCTACCAGCAAATTGGCTGGGTGTAAACTGTTGAATTTATACAGAGCAACTGTGGCTCCCACCCCTGAGGACTCCTTAGGCCTGCTGTAACCATCAATAATACCACAGCGGCTGAACCACCAGCTGTCCATGAGCAGCTTCCAGAAGATCTGCTGGCAGGCCAAGGTAAAGACCAGACAGAACCCTGGCCAGCACTTTCTGGCTCCCCTTCCAGACCACACACTCACCCACTCTACTTCCAGGAGCGCTTCCAGGAGGTGGCATCATTAGCTAATGGTCTCTGAGCCCATTCCTCCCACCGTGCAAATGCTTTACTGCCTCTGCTCTGGCTACATCTCCGAGACTACTCTCCACTCCATGTTCTAGAGCTCGGCTCTGACATAAGCTGTGGTGTTAGGGAAATTACTTAGCTCTCTGAGATTCAGTTTCCCCCTCCTTTAAATAAGACACAATAAAACCTATGGACAGGGTAGTTGTAAGGACTAAGACTAGGACAGATAATGTACTTGGAGTTCCTAGTACATTTCCTGATGTATAATAAGTGCTTAATAAATGATCCCCCCCCAAAAGAAAAGAATAAGAAAGTGACAAATAAAACCAGCCTATAGATAAAAACTGTAGCGGCAATGTGCAGCTCAGAGGCAGAAGAAGTGATGGTTAAGAGCACACGGACTTAGAAGTTCAACACACCTGGAGGTGAGGTTGCTAACTGTGAGAACTTGGGCAGTTTAACTTCTCTGAGTCTCAGTGTATTCATCTATAAAGTGGGTTCAATGCCTGCCTCATATGGTTACTGTGAGGATTAAATAAGGAAGATAATGTATATAAAATTCTTATATCCATACTTAGTCTATAGTACATATGCAATAAATGTTAACCATTTAGATGTACTAAAACATCAAGAGTTTACTTACAATTTATATGTTTTAATTTAAAGAAGTGCCTCAAACCTACTTGCTAAAGTCTTATTACTCTAGTTAAAGCTGTAAATTTAAAAGTAGAAGACATGTATTTCTCTAAAACTATTCTATAATCCAAACTGGCCTTATTTCCAAAGAGTCTAAAATAGTGAGTTTTCCTGGTTAGAAGAAAAGACAACTAGAGATAAAAGAACTATTGGTTTACCCTTTGTTATCCTTAATGGTGCATACAAATTGCATTGTAAATAAGTCCTAAACCTGAAGGAATGGAGACTGTTATGAACTGTAGATAATTATGTTATTAATCTGCTTTTAAAAAAATCAAAACAAGAAGTCTTTAAATAGTTTCAGTATCACAGATAATATGCTCTAAGTTTATTCAGAACAATGCTTTCTCTGTTCAAAGACACAAAAACACGGCCATGCTGGGGAAGTGACAAACACATTAACTGGGCCATGTCATACAACATCAAATCCCAGAACTCATTCCAATTCTTTTTTTTCTCATTTGAAGATACATTGAAAACCTTCTTTCTCAGTCCTTAAAAATACTTTTTTGCTTAGAATATTTCTTGCATTACTTTTCAAGTGGTTTTCCCCAGGGAGAAAAATAGTTTGGCAACATATAAAAAGTGAATCTCTGCTCTTCTCTGCTGCGAAGTCCCATATTCTGCGCCTCTGCTCTCTCTCTCCTTCAGGCAGTGACCATGGCTGCTGCCAATTTCAGACTCACATCTACCCCACCACCATCAGAGAGGTAGGGAGTCCTACCCCTCAGCTCTGTTTCCAAGAATCTCACACGTGAACATAAGCACTTTGAACTCACTCTGAGTTTGCCTCGCCGGCCTATATCCAACTTGAGGCTAATCTAATTATCCTGCATTCTACTGGAGAAAAGGACAAAAGTGCAGGAACTATCTCCCTTCTACATTGATTATTTCCAACCATGGTGGGCCCTCTCACTAGCTTCCTGCATCTTTCAGAAAATTGCCTTGCTTTTAAAGGTTTCTTTTGACACAAATAGACTGGGCTGTTTACACGGTTCCATCATTTGCTTTTTAACTTTAACAATCTACCTACCCTATTAGTGATTTACCTCACTCTTTTTTAAGAGTACCTATTATTAAATAGTAGTGCTATATTTTAACCATTCTGATGGGATGGCTTTTTTTTTTACAGATGGCTTTGTAATTGTTGAATACGATGGCCACTTTTCCATCTTGGTCCTACTAGCTCTTTCCATAGTATCTGATACTCTTGATGCCTCTTAGCCACTCCCCACCCCCCCCAAAGACATTGCTTTTTCTTGTTCCCTAATATATTCCTAGAACCTAGAACACAGCCTGGAGCCCAGGACCATCAACATATGTGGAATGAATGAATAAATAAATGAACTCATCCTTTAAGAAGGAAAGGTCCTGCTGTTAAATTAAGAACTGAGCAACACATTTCAACCCAAACAATTCTGTTTGAGTTTGAGGTGTTTCCTTCTACAACCCATTTACTCATTCAGTCCACTCATAATCACAGATTATCTATGAATTATAGACTGATCTCTGCAAAAAGAATCTTAATGTAGTAAATTAGCCCACCTGCCACCCTTACCACTGTTCTACATTAAACCTGACACCGTAATGATCACCACCTTCCAGAAACTATTCTCCATGAGAGCCATGAGCATAAGGGGCTGGCCACAGGGCAAGACCAGATTTGAATCCAGGACACTGTGAGATGGGTACCCGCTGGGCTGGCTGACTCCTCAAGGGATTGCCAGGGGTACAGAGGCTCTAGTCTGGGAACTCATCATCCTATATCCTACCGTCACAACTAGATACTTAACACACATCCTCTCCAGTTCACTCAACGGGCCTATCGCGCTGTGGCCCTTTTGCAGACGAGGTAACTGACGCTGGAGATGCACTAACTTGTTTAAAGCTTGGGCAGAGACCCCACAGACAGGGGTCCCAGGGCAGGTTTCAAAGCTCAGACTCCATCCACTTGAGCTACCTGAGCGGCCTTGAAGAATCCTTAGTATCCTTTTGGATGACAAAACGTGAGGTCCGGGCTAGAGGACTCAAGAGCAAGCACAACGAGAAGAAGGCCCCCAAGAGAAGCCCGCGGGGGGGTCTTCACAGACCCACGCTGCTCCCGGGGGTGCCTCCTGGCGGCTGGCAGGAGTGGGACCCGGCAGGATACTACAGGCTTAACGCTGGAGTAGCGGATGCCTGGCCGGGGGCGGGTGTTGAGGCGGAAGGGGGACACTGAGAACACGGGGTTAAGGGGCGTTTAAGTATTTGGTCAGATTGCGCGGGGGGGACCGGGGAGGGGAGGGCTGGGTTTGAGGACGAAAGCGATCCCCGCCGGGAGGGAAGAACAAAGCAGTGTGGCCGGCCCGCGCTCACCAAAAGGCACTTCGGGCACCTAGTCTAAGAGGAGGATGCCAAGAAGGGAGGGGTGGGGAGAACGCGGGGGGGCGCACGGCTCAGTCCGAAATAATCGGGAATTTGCATTTACCACTACGCCTCGCCCGTAGCCTGGTGCCTCTTCACTGCTCCCGGCCATGTTTCTCCTGGGGAAAGCGGGAAGGGAAGGAGGCCGCGGGAAGGATCTGGGACGGGGACGGGTGGGAGCAAAGGGAGTGGGGGTGGGAGTGGGGGTGGGGCCGCCCCGCCCTGGGCCAGCCCCGCGGGGAAGCAGCGACGCGCCGCGGACCCCGTGCCTGGCTGGGCTCCAGCGCCTTCGCCACGGAGCCCCCTCCCCGATTTCCTTCCCCGTCAGGTCGACGGGGCGGGGGCGCGGGGAGCAGCTGCGGAGCAGCGCCTGCTCCACCTGAGCTCAGGCCCCGGGCGCGTCCCTCGCCGCCGCCGCCCGTCTGCGAGCCCCCCTGAGACTCGGGAGAAAGTGGCTGCCCCGCGGCTCGATTTTTACAGGAAGAGAAAGTGTTCCCTTGTGCCCTGCCTCCTAAGTATGTCTTCCAGCTTTCAGGCTAACCATGTCGTTGAATCCTTCCTGCTAATTTTTGTGCGCTCTTTATCCCAAGGAAACCCGTGAAGACGTCTGCGGTCTAGGACGTTCTCGAGTAGGGCTTGTGCACGAAACGCTCCCCGATGTGTTTTTTAAATCCTCGAGCCGCCAAACCAGGAGTTTGAAAGAGCCATGCGATTGCTTTTACCTTGGACTACTGAGATTATAGGATCTGGGCTTTGAAATAGGGCCTCTTGTTAACCGCATTCAGCAAGGTGGGGGCGGGGGGGGGAGGAGGAATAGAGGCAGAGATTTTTACAAATTATGTGCTTTACTACGTTTTGTAAGAACATATGGTTGGATTTCATTGTTTCAAGTTGCAATTTAAAGCAATCACTCTCTTCAGATTAGAAATCCTTTCACGACTCTTTTGTTAATTCAAGCCCTAATCCCAGCCTTCCCCAACTGAATGTCCCGGGTCTTTGTTTCTCTATGGCCCTGCTGTCCCTTTATGTACATATTCATTCCCCTGGTCTCTGCTGTCCTGCCTCATCCTTTGCAGCACTACTCTGGGTGTGAGCGCCTGAGCGGAGCACAGCTCTCTGACTCCGGCCTCTGCAAAAGACGATTTTGTTCATTTTCGGACTCTGGCACAGGACAGCGAGGGGAATGCTGATTTTGCCTGGTTTGAGGGGCACATTGTTATCTATCAGTTAATGTCGCTCTAGGTTGGGAATATATTAGCCCTTCAGATGTGGTTCCTGGCTGTGCTCAGCACCGCTTGGTGTTAGTCTTCCAAATGCCGGCTCAGTGGAAGGAAGACAGCTCCGTGGATCCCTGAGATTAGGCACCACACTGGTTGGTTCACTGGCTCATATAAACTGGGAGATATTGTTTCCTAGCGCATAAACACTTTCTCTCAGTATCGTCAGAGGTCCTTGTTTGGGGCCATTTTACAGTCTGCCTCTCACCTCTTTTCCCAAAGGTGAAGGATCCTCTTCTATTTTTTATTGTTTAAGACCAAGCTCAGGAACCATCTTAACACTACAACTTCCAGGAACCAAAAAATGCCATATCACTCTAAGAATGATCAAACTTTAGGGTTCATAAGAATCTCTTGGGGAGCCGGCCACCAACCTACCCTGTAGGCTTTGATGGAGAAGCTGTGTAGTGGGACTCAAGGCTAAGACACTCAGGTGAGTGTGATGCAGGTGGTTGATGAACCATGCCTTCAGGTATCCCACTTGACCATTTTATTGCTGCAAAATCAAATTTATCCATAAGAGGCAGGTGTGGGTGATTGGGCCAGATTAGGGGCATGGGACTTCAAAATAAGTTACAGTTGTAGCTGCTATACAGGAGTCAAATAGCAACAACTGTGTGCTGGGCCCAGGTACTGTGGAAGATGTCAGGGAAATGGTAGATAAACCTTTCCTGAGGAAAGCCATTAATTTAAACGTAAAACCCAATAGGTTTACAATAAAACAAAAATGTAACTTGCTTGGATGACAACAGGAATCTTACAAATGCACACTCAAGAACATCCTATAGAGACCTACATAGGACATGCTATGAAGGGTACAGAATGATGAACAAATCTTTTCTAAAAATTGAATTCATTTTATTATCTTTTTATATTTTGATAATATTTTAATTACACTTCTATACTTTGGACAGCATTACTGTAATATAATACTTGGTATTACAAAAAGTATTTGCAAGGACCGATATCCAAGAATAACAACTCATCTGTCCAGGCTTTATTCTTAATCTTGCCTTGTGAGGATTTAAGAGGCAAAATTCTTTTTAGATCTCAAATTTGTTACATGTCTAGTGGAATGGCTTTGGATTAGGATGCCAATTTTTTTTATTAACAATCCATATAACCTTAGCCAATGACATCAATGTAATGTGCCTCAGTTTTCTCATCTGTAAAAGGGGACAGTACATTTCTACTTTACCGCATATGATGATGAGATTAACATGAGACTACATGCAAGAGAATCCTTTCAAAAATGCTATAAAACTGTAAGGTATTATTAATCTGAGATGCTGTGAAAATGTATGACCAAATGTTTGAAAAGTCATCTGATGTGAAAATGACAGGGTAATTGCCTTTTAAAGATGAGTGTACGGTGACCAATGAGGCACAGTTATAATCTAGGGACAAGTTGGGACTGGTATGAGAATGGATACAGTAAAATGAGAAAATTATTAAAGTAATGGAATTTTCCATAAAAAAAGAATATTTTTTATTCTTTTTCTGATACTCCTTTGAAGAAGCTGTAAGAATAAAGTCATCTGTCTTTACAAAGTTAATAACCAGTAAATACTCTTGCATTTTTTTTCTGTCATTCTCTTTACCCTCTTTTAGTTGTAGGTTGCCTGCATTTTAAATTCTGAAATTATCTTGTGCCACTACCATGGTGAAAACACAAATATTTATACTTACCTGAATTCTCCACCAGGCTAAAAAGACTTTTGTCCTGAAACTACATACTAATCTCTTGATAGTTTGGTAATTCTTTGACTTTTGCCAATACTAATCTGTTGTTGAAGGCACAATTCAATCTCTGCACTGAGTTGCTCAGAGCCAGTCACTTAGTCACACGACAGTGATTCAAAACACAGAAGGCCATTTCATTCTTTCTGAGTCCTGAAACATGAAAATAAATAAAAAAACCTCTCAGCCTGAGAATTGTGTTGAAATACATAAACATATGAAACTTAGTGACTCAGATTGTTAGTCACAGAGTCACTGGTTAGTCTGGATGAGATCCACTGTGGACAAAGGCCATTTATAATGATGCTGATATTTTGCTTTTTCGTAATGTTGAACAAAACCCTTTACAAATGTTACAAACACAAATGAAAAAGTGGCAAGATCCTGTCTCCCAAATATTTATGCTAAGTAAAAATCTTGGTACCTTTAAGGTATTTTTTTTTCCCTGAACATAAATACAGGAGAAATCTAGTTGCAAATAATTGTAACACAAACAACTTAAGCCAAAGCCTTATTAGTATTCAATTAGCATAGTGAGCCCTATTTCCTAGCCTCTTGTTTGAAGCTGACTGAATCCAATGTGTGGTTTTAGAGTAAAGAAAATAATGGCCCCATAGTAGTTCTTACAAATAAAGCCAGGAGCTACATTCAGAATTACATTTTATATTATTATACTTTCATTACTAATTAACCTTCCACTGAAGAACGTACTGCAGGGAGATTGAAGCCTGTTCTCTTGCAATAATGTCAGGCGTGAGTAATATCATCAACAGTAAGTGCTGGGCTGCTTCAGAGATATCGTCCCACTATCTCCCCGTCCAACCGGAACAGGAATTGGATAGCTTCCGAGGAAAAGAATAATATGTTCATGTGTTCCTCCAGATCTCAGAGTCCTGGCAGGCGACCTCGACTCTCTTGGCCACCATAAAGCAGTCATTGAAAGGACACAGCTGCAGGAACTAGCGGCTAAGCACTAACTAAATCCACAGGGCTGGAGGCACAAGTCATGTACATGACCCTAACACAATACCTTGTGCTTATGAATGAACGGATTAGCATCTAATGGTGCTGTGGTAGTTTATGCAAAATTAATTGGTGCCTCAGCCAGTGCTGAGTTTCTAATGGAAAGGAGTCCACTTAAAAAATAAAAAACACAGGGCGGCCGAGTGGCGCGATGGTTAAGAACTGGCTTGGGATGCCAGAGGGCCCTGTTTCGGATCCATATGAGGGCCAGTGACACTGCCCTCCACAGCTAAGCTGCTGAACAACAGCTCAACCTGGAGCTGGGCTGCCGTGAGTTGCCAGCGACAGCGAAGGCTGCAGCCCCTGCTGCAGTGGATTGCCATGGGCTACCATGTGTAGCCAGCAGCCAGTCTGAGTGACCAGCAGCTGCTGTGAGCGGCCGTCCAGAAGCCGGCGACTGATCTGCCTTGCCAGGGAAGAGCACAATGATGGTGCCAACTTGGGCCAGTGAAGCAACGTCCTCCACAACTGGACTGAAGAACAAAACGACAGCAACTTGTCCATGCCCCTTCCCCCAATTCCCCAGCACTGTTCCCATCCCAATTCCCCAATAAAAAAAAAAAAAATCTTTAAAAAAAATAAAAAATAAATAAAATAAAATAGATAAATAAAAAACACACACACAAAAAAACAAAACAAAAACAAAAACAAAAAACAAACTCAAGGGACCTCTTTAGCTCACAGAAACTTTGGCTGGTGTGGGGAGACTAAGGACCAACAGGAATGGGAACTGAGCTGTTTATTCTCTTTGTTGTACATGATTCTCTTCAGATCAGAGGTGATGAACAACATTCACTGGCAATATCCCAGGAACCGACCCAGTTATTGCCAGGTTCTAGGTTGTGTTTCAGAGGTGAGGTTGAGGGAGCTTGAGATGTGGCTTGAAGTCGAGTTGTCTCACATGGGGGAAGAGACTGACAAAGAAAAAGAGATTGGACACTAATCTACCTAGAGCAACACTTCCCAAAGTGTGTTTTGATTCACTTTTCTTTATATTTGAAAAAGATGATGTGATTCATTGGGTTTGAGAAACAATGAGATGAACAAAATTAAACATCTATGCTTATAAGACTTCTAGAAGCCTTTCACTTGCCAATATGTATTGTCAATATTCAAGAAGACTGTGGCAACATG